CGTACCTGTGCTTAAATTTCTATAGAGGCTTTCTTTAGATTTTCCATATTTTTGTCTGTAATTTTCCTGAGACTTTCTTACAAATGTATAGAAAATTTTAAAAAGTGGTTCTAGGTCTTCTAGTGCATGTAACGCCCTCAAATTTTTTCAGGAGAATCCTTAGGAATTAAGCTTTATTTTACAAATCATATTTTTTTTCAGAACAGCCGTTGTACGGAAATTATTACACACTAGCCAGGACTGCATTGCGTTATTAAGCAGTGGTAGAACCATATGCCAGCAAACAGTTCTGAGACACGCATGGCCAAGGTGCTGAGATACTCGTTCTTTTCAGAGAGTAACTTTTTTCCGATATACTTCAAGGTCTGGGCCTTCCTCTGTTAAGTCACAGACCAGCTGAATGAGGCTGTTGCATAAAGCATTAACTGTGTGATAGGCATTACTGACACACAGGATAACATTTTTGCCCATTTTGGTAGAAATGCAGTTTCTTGGAAGAGATATGTATCTGTAACTTCTTGCTGGCTGGATGTGACCTTGCAGTCATAATTTGTCATGATTTTGTGTAAGTGGAAATGAGCAGCAAGGAACCTTGGAAGGAGCGTAGAGCAAAAGATTTGTATTTAAACCTAGACTATCAAATTTCATACTCCATTCCTTTGCAATAAGTTACAGGTGCTCACATGTAGGCGTGATCCTGGCTGGCTTAGAAGAGGGAAAGGGAAAAGATAAGGGGGTACACACCCAACTGCATTTTAACAGTTACTGGTCACATGTGCACAGTCTGTTTATTTGTATCCATGCATTTTTATTGCAATCTTTTAAAAAAAATAAGACAAAACCAAACAAAGACTAATTGTACATAGTAATCAATAAGTTCCTAAAAACAAATTATATCCCTGATTGATACAGTATGGGTGATCAGAAGTAAGTGTTAATAACACCATCTTGCAGTTGGGTGCTATGCATTTGTCGTTACGCATTGTATTATTTCTGTAGGGAAGGATGTGATTTGTGTCGTGCACAATGCCATAAGAACTGGACTAAGTAACATGGCTAAAGTTCTTGCATGACTTCAATGATCCATTATAAAGCAATGCCAGGTAACATGCAATCAATTTCAACCAATATGACCTGTAGCCTGAGTATCAGATCTTCCTCAAGGCTGGTTTTCACTAGCGATGGAGTTGGAGTCAGAGTTGTAAGGGGAGTCGTTAAAGCGCTTATGGCTCAGTGAAATCAAAAATAGGAGTCATAAGTGCAATGGAATTGGAGTTGGAAGAATTAGAATGTTTCCATTTTCTTGCGACTCTGCTTGTGATTCTGTCACTTATGATCTAGTGAAAACCAGATTGTCAGAGTCGGAAGCAGAAGTGGAAGGATAAACCAATCACAATGCACGTGCCCATGCTTTGTGATTGGTTTAGTTCTTCTGTTGCTGCTTCCAACTCCAACAACCAAGCTTTCACTTGACCGTAACCGACAGAGTCGTAAGCGGAATCAGAATGCTGTTTTCACTAGATCATAAAAGTTGTACTCTTCTGGTTACGACTCTGTGAAAACCAGCCTTTAGGAGTTAGGAAAAAAAGGTTTTATCTTTTCGCTTCTCTCTCCCCCTTTCCCCCAGAAGTGCCTGATACTCAAGGTATGCAACCTGTAGACTGTTGAGTTTTATTAATTTATTGGCTGCTGTATGTGGCAAAAGTCAAGGCTTACAAAAATATTTAACATTATTGGACGAGGTTGAACAAATATCATGATTTGTCAGGTGGTAAGTATTATTTGCCGAAGCGGGAGGCTATGGCAAATAATAATATTGATCTGCAAGACACAGCAAATCATGATATTTTGCAATAATGGAGTGCAGACCACTATTTAACTAGGCAGTTATTTTGGCTTTTGGCCAATGAAAAGTAAGAAACATCAGCATCGAACAATAATGTCAGTTGTTTTATTTTTAATAAAAATCTCATTTAATGGGTGGGGTGTTGCCTATCAACAAGTGAATAAAAGTTGAGTTCAAAGACGAATGTTGAAGTCATAATTAAACACCAAAAGCCATTATGAATTTTTTGTAACATGTATTTTTTTATGACTCTTGTTCCTTTGTGAATTAACTAAATATTAAAACCTGTGAAATTCAATGCTTAACAGCATAACTCTTTAAAAGAAACAAAGAAAATCACTCTATTGAAGGAAAACAATAGCAAACTGTTCCTTACTATAATTTAAAACTTAAAGGAAAACTTTTGCTTTGAATTTTTGTCCCAAAAAGGATTGCTGTAAAAGGTTTGAAGAATGCCTTACCAAAAGCAGTTACATGTATCTTTTGAATCTAGACTTTTTAAATCATGGCAGTGCCTCTTTTTTCAACCCATTTCATGGCGATGAGATGTTGCCTTTTACATCAAAGTAACGCATCAGCTCTTTTCACTTCCACTTTACAGTTGAGAAGTGTGAAGCATAATGACCTATTATGGCACACCCCAATCAAGACTGTTGTGATGAGCTTGGGAGACAATGGACAACTTTCTATAATTAACCTGCACCACAGACAAAACTTAACTCTGGTTAAGTCTGTCTGCAAAACAGTACCAAAATCCCTGTTCTGGGCCCCCACTGGTGTACATGTACCAAGATTTGAGTACGTGTCATGATTGGCGGGTTAAGAAAGCTATGGCCAATTTGCCAATCAAGATGAATGGAAATTTGAAACACACTTCTGGTAATTCGTTGAGTCCATTGGGAGCTGAGAGCAAGGATATCCACACTGCTTCGCAAACATTACTAACCAAAGCTTATTTACACCTGCGACGCAGGATACTTTCTAAGTGAACTTGACAAAATGTTTTACTGTTGTCTAGCAAGGGGAACAAATCAATCCCAGCTCAATTTCTTTTGTTCTAACTCCTCTTGCTGTTTGTCTTGCATTTGTTCTATTTCTTCTTCAGTTGTAGCTACATCAGTGAGTTCCACATCAAGTTCTTCTGTTCTCTCAGCTGATATCTTCATTGGTTGTGTTGGATTTGGCAGTTGCATAAAAGCATCATACACTGACGGCACACTTAATATTTGCTGTTCACCTGTACATTTTGAGGAGAATAAAGAAGCATTGCTACCTTGAACAAATAAATCAACTCTATTTGTTTTTTTTCCAAGCCACTGACCCACTCACAATAAATTATCGTAAATTTATTGCACATTCATGATCAAGTATTTAAAATATTAATATTTTTATTAACTTTCATGTATGAGCACGGGTGGTGCAGTGGTGAGAGCACTCACCTCCCACCAATGTGGCCAGGGTTCAAACCCAGGTGTGAACACCACATGTGGGTTGAGTTTGTTGTTCATTCTCTCCTTTGCTCTCAAAGGTTTTTTCGTGGTACTCCAGTTTTCCCCTCTTCTCAAAAATCAACATTTCCAAATTCCAATTCGACCAGGAATGGTAGTAAAAAAAACAATTAAGTGTGGGGCCTCCTCTCTGTTAACTCTCAATGGCTTCTGCACCCTGTCATGCGCAGATCATGTCGCGCACACTTGGAAAGTTTCATCCCGCTTCAAACTAGCCTGTCCTCTGTGAATCTATCCTTTTTCTCAAGAACAATTATTCAATGGAACAATTTGCCGGCGTCTGTCTTTAGCGAACACTGCTCTTTAGTTACTTTCAAAGCCCATGTGAGCTGCCTAAATCATCTACCTGTTTATTAGCCTATTAAGTTAACTTTTTTTTTTTTGCTGACCAACCCAGCTAATAATCCTCAAATGTGAGGGGTAGGCTGTACACGGTAAATGTAAAATGTAAAATAAAAATGGTTATGCTACCTCTCTATCATTATTCATTCATTTTTTTATTTATTGTGTATACAACAAACAAAAAATGTAAACATCATATATAACACCAACCATTTTTTGAAAAACTGACCTCTTAAATAACAATGTTGTTTATTACCTTTTTGTTTTGTTACAAGAAGTCCAAGGCTTTCAAGTTGTTTTACTCCTTCCGATGGATCATATATGACCTTTACTTGAAATTTGCACATCCAGTCTTCCACACGCAATTTTAATTCGCTAGCTGTCATACCCTCACCTATGCCAATAAAAATTATATTTTTTAACTTTACTGTTCATACTGGTATGCATGAGTTCAAGATGGCTAGATACTAACCAAGATTTTTGTTGCAAGGTCTTTTTTTCTCTATAAGGACCAAGAAGAGGTCAATGTCCATAAAAATGCCAAAAAAGAGCAATTTCCAACCAAACTGACCTTGGAAACATACCTGGTGAAAACAGGATTTATTATACAGCAAAAACAAACTTACTTTTTGCAGGAGCATTGTGAATTTAGAAATAATTAGATAAATGGCAGCGTTTGTAAACTGCTGTATTTGTTTGTCAGTTTTACTCGTAAATGTTACATTTAAAATTTGATTTCAAGCCAACAATTTTTAATCGAGGATGACTTTCAATCCCCTTTGTCTTCAAGGGCTAAGAGACAAAGAAAATTGAGAATCAACCTCATTTGAATAAAAATTAAATTGAAATTAAGTAAGTGACCAAAACCACTTTTTGGGGTGATGGTTTTAAAACTTTCCATTGTTTTAATCCCTTGTAGGCAACACTTTTATATAGCCATCTCTATGTCTGCAGTATGTACTATGCAACAACATTTAGTGACAACATGGAACCACACATGTCTACATGTATATTCTTCTCACAAGAGGCTCCTGTAGTTTAATTCTCCTATGTGGCCACCTTCTTTAACCAACCACTAAATCTTTGCATTTTGAATGGATGGATGCTTACAGGAGGTTTAACTGCATGATACTTATAAAAAGTAGTAAATGCCAAAAACCATACCTGATGATGCCTGCAACTTTGATGAAGCCTGAAGGAAACTGTATGCCAGTAATGTGACTTTGAAAACTTCATCCTCAGCTCTATCAGCTAACAGTGTGAGTAAAGCACGATTGTTAGCAATGGACTTGAAATACAAGGTCTGCCCCAAACGAACCAGGTAAGAATTTCTCTTATTCTTGTACATGTTCCATGCTCTTAGAGCCACAAGAGCAGCTACAGATATGGCGATATAAGTCCAGGAAATTTTATAATCTGCCAGGAAAGACACCAGCTTGATCACTGCACTGGTGGCACCAACTGCAAACATTCCCGTCAACACTCGCTGATCAAACTGATTCATTCTGATCTTTCCATCAGGCAGTAAGTGCTCCAGGTTTGCACAACGAATATCCTTAAAGGACTTGAGCAAAAGTTTGCTCTGTTTCTTGGCACGAATTGCAATGACCACTCGCTTGTACCTTTCAGCCGGTTTGGGTGGCCTAAACCAACGCACTACTCCAGTGGCAATTCTAGAATACAGACGACCATTATCAACAGGCTCAAATTCCTTTCCAACAACCCAAATCCTCAGTACATCGTACTTCTTTGGATCCACACTAACCAGTACTCCATCACCAGCATCATGCTCTCTCAGCGCATCACGTACATCTTCAACAGGAAGCTCATAGAAGTGAGCCTTCTCAAGGAGTTGGGATAACTTCTCTAATAACCAGAACTCATTATCCAGCCTTTCCTGCTTTGATATATTTTGCAGTGTTAAGGTCTCTTTGTCGGGGTTTAGAGGGTCATATAATACCTGTAATTAATGAAAAGTAAGGCAAAATTAGAAAGGCCAAGAACATAGCAAGATCTGTCTTATCTACAAATGAGGCAATAGAGTCACCCCATGTAAGGGAATCCGGAATCTGGGATATTTTTGCAAGTGGAATCCAGAATCTAGTTAAATTTTGGTTGTGGAATCCAGAATCCTTGGGCTATGGAATCTGGAACAGCTCAAGGAATCTGGAATCCTGCTACTGATTAGAATTTGGCACCCAAGTTGCACTGACAGAGGATCTGGAATCCACAACATGGAATTCAGAATCCAAGACTGTTGTGGATTCTCTAACATGAGGTGAGTGGGGGTTAGCGGTACTGTACATGAGTGTTCTTTTCTTTCGACCATTGCAGGGACTAATCACTTATTAGAGGGGGGGCAAGCTTATTTTTGTGATGCTGTGATTGACCATTTTAGGTGTGCGTGAATTGAAATGTACTGAAAAACCGTTCTGTGAATCATAATTGAAGTGCACTCTGTAAAACCAGAACTGCCAACATCCTTGATTGTTTACACGTACATTGAAGATCAATCTAAGAAAATAAATAGTTAATTTGGCCAAATGACCTTAAGTTGCATCTGGTGGCTTGATTTAACTTCACTTTCAAGCCTTTTGATGAAACTTCACACTTCAGTGCACTCAGACCCACCTACAGCTGGCTTCCCTGGGGAATTTATAGGTGTTTTTCATAAGGTTCGTAAAACTAGTTAACTTGATAAAATAGCTGCTAAAATATAATCGAAGCACTCTGTTTCCAAAATGGGACTAACGTAACATTTTTGACATTTTGCACAACCTCCATTTTTGTTGAGAAGCGTGAAAACATAAATATTTATTTAGTGACTTGCGAAATGCAAAATTGTTGTTCATGAACTCGTGATGAGATCCTCCCCTTGCCCCCCCTCCCTTTATTATGTTTCTACTTCTACCGACCATTTAAATAAATGATTCATTACAAGAATGCACCGACCAGCAACAAAGAATACCGTATCTACGCACTGCCAGTATGGCGGGTCTAAAATACAGGTCACTTTTCCACAGGTCAGAGTACAGGTCACCATGATACAGATAAGCCATCCAAATAAAAATATTTCATTTCCCATCACCCTGTCTCTTGTGATGGTGGGTTGGTCGGCCAAGCCAAAAAAAAAAAGAATGAACACTTGCAGGGGTCTGGGTTCCGGGCAGCGAAGTAAGAAAGCCTGGTTACAAAGTCAACTTGAAAACGTGGTCTTTTCAGCATGTTCAACTATCAAATGTCTAAACAACCTTTAAAAACATAGTATCGATGTTAATTAAAGACAAGGACATCACATCATACCAGTTATTGTTAAAAAAACAAGATTGTGTGTTTGTAAATTAAAGTAATTGCTTCTTTGACTAATGAATCTGGAATTTTTTTTTCGAAAAAAATGGGTCGGTCCGTGGGTGATGGGAAACGAAACATTTTATCGGGATGGCCATAAATAAACAGCATTAAAACTGTCTCCTAGCTCTAATCTCTGAACAAAATGCTCTGTTAGATCGAGGGGAATATGTGTAGTTTGTAATTTATCGATGGAGCAGTGACCAGTACTCTTGACCTGTGGAATTGTGACCTGTACTTTAGACCCGACACTGCCAGAATGTTTTTACACTATACCTTCAATTCCCCTAAAGCAGCATGAAAACTACCAGCTATGCTTTTATCCAGAACTTCTGCAAGTCCTTGAAAGTAGTGTCTATCAGTTGGATTCACTAGCGTCTCATCTTCCACTATCCTCCTAATAAGAGCTTTCCGTGTCATCGGAACAAACTTGCGAGGAACATAGTACTCCTTTCTGACAGGCGTTGCTTGTTTTTCCTCACGGACATCAGCTGTTTTTGACGTCTTTGAGCCAAATAGAGAGGGTATTTTGATAAAAGAAGATGAGGATGCACGAGCCATAACTTTTTGGTTTATCCATGAGCATTTTGGTAGGGAAATAACACTTTTTCTGCAAGAAGATAACATTTTTTAAGAGGCAAGAATGCATGGGAGACAGAATTCTCTCTGCAAAGAAGACTGGACGCGATCTCCCTCACACGGTGCTATATGTAAAACTTCATATTGTGTCAGGTCCTCTTCCCGCCAAAAATGCATTGTTTTTTCTAGGATTGCGCGCGCATGCCGCGGTGTCACAGTGTCACAGCGTTACGTCTGGTGATATGTGTATTCCCGTACACATATCGCCACTGCGATAAGTGTGTCCCGGGTCAGTAGCGGATCCAGGATTTTTTTTAGGAGGGGGTGCACTCGTCTCTTGCTCTACTTCAACACCAGTAAACCACATGGTTTTTTTTTGCAGAATACCAGTTGTATTAGAAAACCGCAGGTCTTCTCAGAGGGGGGGGGGGGGGGCTCCGCCCCCCGTGCCCCCCCCCTCTAAATAAAAAAAACGCTACCTTTGATAAGTTTTCGGTCCCACCCGCCACACAAGAATAAAAAAAATGGCGGCACAAGAGGGAAAAAAGCAAAGATGAAAAGGAGAAAATTTGTTTGGCCGTGTGTGGTGCGGTTGCTTGGGTTTTTTTTGGGGGGGGTGGTTCTGTTTTGTTTTGTGACTCCAATGATGGAATACCGGTTGTTTTTTTTTTGGGGGGTTTCCTTTTTTTGAGGAAACCCCGGGGGCTTCGTGGGGGGGGGGGGGGGGATGCGCACCCCGTGCACCCTCCCTCTAGATACAATAAACGCTAGCTTTGCTAAGTATTCGGTCTCATCCGCGACACAAGAATAATAAAAATGGCGGCTCAAGAGGGAACAAAGTCAAGGAGTCTACGAGAAAATTTCGCAGATTGACTAAGTGTTCTTCATTCAATCTAAAAAATGGATCAATTCTTAAAAATAGAAAGTGACTAAGTTGAGATCGCGAAAAGTACATATTTGCCCAAAAGTGATTAAGATGGGGCCTATAATTGGCCACAGAATAGACTATCGAACCTCGTCCCCAGGGCTTTTCCCTTAAAAAGGGAAAAGCACTGGGGATGAGGTTGTAGACTATCCTCACGCGTTGTATTGACTCGGTTCAATCTGATAGGCGGCCCAGCCTCTATGGTAGTTCGTTGGAATTGAATTTTACTGGCGAGAATTTGGTATGAGAACAAACAAAATACGTTCTAAACTTCCGCTTTTTGAAAAGATTCGTTTTCCATAACCTGAATGTTCCAGAACCATAATAACTTTGTAGATAAAAGGCTACACTGCTTTTATGCATAAGAACTTTTTAAGATCTTTTAACATTGTGTCGTAAAGAATTCTTTGACTGA